GCGCCAGAGCGCGGGGACCCACCTCCCCACCGCTCAAGCCTTGGCTGCAGCCACCGCAGCTGCAGCGGCTCGGCTCTCTGCTCTGTCCTTCTTTCCCAACACACACTCCCGGAGTGACGTGGCAGGCCCCGCCTGCTGCCCCCTCCCACCCCACTCCCACAACACACCCCTCGCCCAGCCAGGGGTGCCGCGAGCCAGGGCGCTGTGAGAATAGACACACACTAGCCTCACCGGTAATCTTTCCCGCGCTCTGCGGGCACGCCTCTCCCCTTAGCACGTTCACACTCCGGGCCCCCCTAAACAAGCACTAATGGCCTCACACCACACCCCCTCCACACCCGCAATCAGCTTTTCTCAATGTCAGTTTACAGCGTTGACCTGCGCAGTCCATTTCATCAATAAGAAAACACACCCCACTCGCCACACGCACCGAGCACTGTGCCTCCACTCATCCAGAAATTTAATGAGAAAATCAAATCCTATTTTGTCCTTCTGTGTTTACAAAGACCGATTTGCCAGCATCTCCAATCTCTACTGAAAAAAAAGGAAAAAGGAGAGGCAGCATTTTTGAGATGTCTTGAGAGCTTCCAATTTAAATTGGACTCCATGTAAGTCCCCAGAGAATCCCATACCTCCCTTTGCAAACCTGGGAGGCTGCAAGTCTCCTTAGGCACAGTGCCAGTAGAGAAAGGGGTAGGAGGCCTCCCGTTGTCTTTCCCATCAGAAGTTTTGACAGGAGTCCTGGGAACTCGAGCAGCAGACCAGGTAAAGAAAAAACAAACAAACAAACAGAAGATGGTGGCATCTCAGAGGTATTGTATCCAGGGAAGTGTGGCCTGGAATTCATTTGCTCCCAGCCTCCCTGGGAAGGCATCTGGGATGTCTGCTTATTGTGAAGACAAGAAAAGGGGTGAGTGGAAAGAATATGCAAGAGTGTTGATAAAAATTTTTTGACTCTAGGGCCACAATGGGTTCTTAAACTGGACTGGAGGGCCGGAACAAAAGCATGGATGGAGTGTTTGTGTGAACTAATATAAATTCAAAGTAAACATCATTACATAAAAGGGTACGGTCTTTTTTTTTTTTAGTTTTATTCATTTCAAACGGGCCGGATCTGGCCCGCGGGCCGTAGTTTGCCCACGGCTGATCAAGGTGCTTTCTCCCTCAGGCCTCACAACCCTATGACAAAGATGGCCTCTGCTCTAGGTTACAAGACCCACTTGGCCATATTTGGGTAGGGACCAAAGTTTGTTGTTAAAGATTCTTCCCCGAACTCTCCGGGAGGGAGTTGGTGAGAATGGTTTTCCATCCATTTTGGCCAAAGACCGTATAGTCTTTTGTCACTAGAATAGACAGGTTAGTGTCTGGTGGAGGAGAGGTGGTCTGATTTTTAAGACTGCCACTTCCAGGTAGGCTTAACAATTGCTTCTCTGTGCCTCAGTTTTCTCTTTTGGGGGCATCTAGGGCCAAATTGGCTGACAAATACAGGGTGTTTTTGTGTCTCTTCTTCTGCATATTAGATCATTAGTAAGAGTTCACTGAAGATAATGATGGGAATGATTCATAAAAGTACTCTCAAACCACAAGATACACATAAGAATGCTTTGCATTGCACAGTGTTTTAAAACCACAGTGGCTAGCTCCCAGGGGAGTGGGGGAGTGGGGTTGTTGGGGAGTGGGGGAGTGGGAGAGTAGAGAACTACATTTCCTGGATGTGTAGAAAAGAGGTCCCGTGGTGAGGGGGTAGGAGAGAGACCGGCATCTCATGACATCTTTATTTTCCAGTCTCATCCCTCACCAGGCTTGTCTGTCTCCTTTCTGTGTTTGTACTGTTCATTCCCACTCCCTACTCTCACCTTGCATGTTTCAGTGAAAAGCGAGAGAGAGCAAGTGTTCCAAGTCACCCAGTTAATAGTTTTCCTGTTTACAGGCTATGTAATTGGGCAATTTAGCCTTCACCCAACTATGTTGTTCCATTCAAAAGTAATTTTTAAGGCAAGGAAAAGAAAACCAACAACAATGACACATAGAAGATACTCTTTTACCCTTGTCCAGTAATTTGGAAATATTTTCTGGGTTGTAAATTGATTACTTATGATTCTTTTTGTCTTTGTTTTCAAAATTTATAATGAAATATTCATTTGAATATTTGTTTTTGTTGTTGCCATTTTTATCCACCAGTTTATCAACTAGACCAACAACTCCTCCAAACAAACCTTGGAGAAACATGTTCAGGGCCGTGCATTCTTCCAGAAGGTGCTCAGTCTAACATGGTGGCAGGAACCACCATTTGAGTGCCCCTCGGGTTAAGCCTGCCAAGCTACCGGCAGGGCTGATGTTCCATGGTTACTTTCACGTGAGGCATAAGGCTGTGCCCCAAGAGAGGTTTCGCTGTGCACAGGGAGGTTCCCCTGGAAGGAAAAGCCATTAGCAAAGTCATGAATCAAAATCTGTTCTTAGTTCTTCTGTGGAAGAGACTCATTTCTTAGCATTAGAAAAGCCCTTTGCCTAGATCATTCCTGCCCAGCATACAGTGAGGGTGAGTCAAATCACACCTTCAGAAGTGCCAGTTCCAGGTGAAGGAAGGCAAGGGATACAGCCCCCTCCCAGCAGCATTTCCCCATATTTCATGACAGCACAGATTTTTCTTGTTGTGTCTAAATACACAAGAAGAATATTTGCAATGACAGTAGGGGTCATTCATTCACTTAAGCATTAATTGAGAAGCTACTGGGTGCCCATCATGGTGCCAAGTGCTGGAGATTTAGGAGTGACCTAGACAAAATATCTGTTCTAATGAGTTTACATTTTCATTCAATGAATACACTCTAGGTATAAAATTTCAGCAGTAAACATTAAAGAAGATATCAATATATTGTAGTAGATGTTTGAAGAAAATAAATGACAAGTTATGTCAGAAATGAACCTAAGGATTCAACCCTGAGAAAGACGGTTGGGAAAGTTCCCTCTGAAGAGAGAATCTTTCTTTTTTTAAAAATATGTTTTTATTGATTTTAGAAAGAGAGGAAGGGGGAGAGAGAGCAACATTGATGAGAGAATCATTGATTGGCTGCCTTCTGCACAACCTCTGCTGGGGATTGAGCCCTTACTCAGGCATGTGCTTGGCCAGGAATCCAACTGGGCATGGGTCGATGCTCAACCACTGATCCACAACTGCTAGACTAGATAGTCTTTCAACTGAGAGTTCAAAAGCAAGAATGAGCCAGTCTTGCTAAAAACAGGGGGAGAGCATTCTGGGAGACAAGTGCAAAGCCCTGAGCTAGAAAGGTCATGGGTGTTCAAGGATGACAGGGAAGGTGATGTGCTGGGAGGAGAATGGACACCAGAAGGGACCTGCAAGACAAGGCTGAAGAGGAAGCAAGGGGTGCATTCTTGCAGGGTGAGGTGCTCAGGTTTTGCTTTAAGGGTGATGGGTGTGGAACAATGAGGGTTCTCAAACAGAGGAGAGACATGGTATGATTAACATAGAGGCTGTCCAGAGAATAAATTATGGAGGGGCAAAAATAAATAAATAAAAAACCAGGAAATTGTAGTAGTCTGGGGGAAAGATAATGGTGACTTGGACAAAGGTAAAGGATGAACAGACATAGAGTGGGGAGGAGGCAGGAGAGAGGGTGGGAGGGTATTTAGAAGATAAAATTATCAGGAACTGGTGATAAATAGAGCATGAGAAATAAATAATGAATGCCAGATGCTATTTATTGAGAAAGGGGAGAGAAGGGGCTAAACAAGTTGGAAATAATCAAGATCTCATTTTTAGATGTATTAAATTGAAGAGGTGAATTATACATGCAAATGAAGGCATCAAGGAGGGAATTGCTTATTATGATAGAGAAATTTATGATTTATAAATTTAAAATTTTTTAAAATATTTAAACTCATGGCACTAAAGTCTCCTAGAGAGACAGAATATGGACAATGAAAAGGAACATAACCAAGATCAAGTTCTTCACATACTCAACAATTTACAGGTCAAGTTTAGGAGGAAGAGGACCCAGCAAAGGAGACCAGGGAATGTCATGAGGTAGAAGGAAAACCAAGAGAAATAGATGTCCAAAACCAAGAACTGGGACCAGACCCCAGGGCTCCCATCCTCCCAGGCCAATGCTGACCTTCCAGCTGAACACAAATTATATGAGATCAGGAACACATGGTGGGAAGAAAAGGGTGCCATCAGGGAGGAATCATTTAAAGGTGGATGTATGTACCAACCAAGATGAGTGCAT